AAAAAAAAATGTAAAAAATTAAATATAAAAATTAAAAATAAAATTTGGAAAAAAAAATGTAAATAAAAAAATTTTTCGTTTCGGCCTGACAATTTTTTTATTTTGGTTTCGTTTTTGACATTTCCATTTCGGTGCACCTCTAGCCGAGACCAAATCTCCCCATTGGACATCATGTTTCAGTGGATCAACAAAGCCAAATACCTAGGGCTCATGATCGAAACCCCTCAAAAACTACTGTATAATTACAGTGAATCCTTAACTAAAAATAATTTTGAATACGTGTGAAAAAAAAAAACATTTTCTGAACAAGGGTCTGTACACAGGATCTTCGTTCACCATTTTACTTTAACCACTGACTATACTACATCCCCTGCAAAATGCATGAACTGGGAATCACCCACTTGGCCCAATGATACCATTGCTGGTAACACATACACCAGCTTTCTACAAGCACTGTGGCCTTGAACTGGCTCAGAAATAAATCAAGTAAAACCTGTTGCTTCAATGTCCAAACTTATTGTTGACCTGGTTTGATTGGTTTTGTACTGGAAATATTCATAAATAAAAACACTTTAAAAAGTGTCCACAGGTTGCAAATGGGTTAAAAAGTGGGTCAAATGGGTTAAATGAGAACATCTATGTCTTTCCCATTTCCCAAGCATTCACAAAAGTTGGCATTGCTACTGCAGTTTAAAAAGACACACATGCAATGCTTTCCTCCTGCACAGCTCATCCCATGCCAGCATAGTTTACACATTGCTCAGAGGACATTCCTACATAAGCAATTGTGCAATGCACGTACCATTTTTCTAACAATCTGTGGAAAACAAAAAGGAACTCCGGGTTTATCCAGTAGAAGTAAACCGTGTAATAAACACAAGTAGAAATGGCAGCTACCACAATTCTATATCCTTACAGGTTCTATTTATTGCTGTTAATGCATCAAGATTTTGAGCAAAGAGACAGCCATATTCTGGAAAAAAAAAACCTTTAGAAATAGATAAACTTTAACCCTACTAATTAAACAATCTCAGTTTAAATTAGAAGTAGATGAACCGAACAATAAAGTCCTGACACAGCTTACAAACTATATACTCCTCTTCAACATCATTGCAAATCTAAAAAACGTCTTTAAATATATTCTACTTACCTTCAGGCAGCTGCAGTAAGAGGTTTCTCCTAATATTGAGATCCCTTAATGATTCTAATTTGCCAATTTGTGTAGGAATTGTCTGGACCTCATTGCAACTCACATCCTGGAAAAAAGGAAATCAAAAGCCCCTTTAAAACCCTGCAATACAGAGTATTTTATTTTACATAATGCTCAAATACAACGTGCAATCATAGTCAAATATATATGGAAATCAGAAACAAAAAAGGGAACGGCTGGTAAAATGTCCAGGTGAAAAATAATGTGCCCACATACACACACTGTTCAGTATCCAGGATGGTAAATGGAGCTGTAGGATATCTGAATTAGCCCATGCAGGTCTTCTGACCATTTCCAGTAGGACCAGCTCAAAATACAAAGACATGTTTGACCAGATGTGTTGGTCAACTTTACATGCATGCTGTAAGCTAGACAAAAGGCCATAACATGTGTAGGTGTTAAAATGCCTTTTAGAATCTCAACATACAATTTGCCATATATCATCACCAAATAATAAGCAAAATCATACCAATTCGGTCAGGTGTCTGAGAAGACCAATCTCCTCTGGCAAGGAGTCCAACTTGTTGTTACTAGCTATTAGGACTTTCAGAGGTAGACTGCAGATGTACCCTGGGAGTGAAGTCAGTTGGTTTCGACTTGAAGGGGGGAAAAATTTTTTACAAAAAGAAGACAACAAAATAGCTAATTAAAATCAATCTACTCAAAATGTACACCAGCTTTTATAGATTGAGAACAGGAATGAAAACAAAATAACCAGACTGAACTATGCAAACACAAATACAAGTGTATTCAAATAATGTACTGAATGGCTTTCAGCCAGTAATTTCCAAGGCAGTGGCAGACAGGCCTCTCTAGACCAGATAGCATGTTGGCAACATACCACAGAGCTGGAAACTTGCCACTGAACAGCAGAGGAATCTCTCAGTTTTAAATTAGCTGGTTTTAATTACAATGTAGCAGATAGATGGATACCTGAGATTAAGGAAGGTCAGGGCTTGCAGGTTAAGAGTAGCTTCTGGCACATAGCGGATACAATTCTGGTAAAGATTTAGGCTTTCCAAGGAAACATAATGACAGATCTCAGCAGGAATCTCCGAAAGCCTGTTCCGAGACACATCTAAAAATAAAAAATATTAGTATTACTTGTTCAGCCTATCTAGGAGTAAACAGAAGAAACTACACATACTGAAACTTGCTTATGCCCCAAATGTAGACAGGGGCAAACTTGACTTTCAGCATATGCACATTATGAACTGTTAAGGCTTGTGACAGTTTTGCTTTAAAGACCCTGTCATTCGGCCCATGAAGGCAAGGTTTTAACAATAGTTGAAGATGTCATCCACCTTTCAAGTAACAGTGTTCAGGCCTAATAAATGACTGATCGAACCCAAGAACTGCAACACGGGAGGAGGTCCCAAGCTCTTCTATTCTTGGAAGCAAAGGTTATTTCACAAGGGTCCCTACTGAGCAATAGAGTGCCAGGGGAGTGGAGCAAAGGGGGGCTCTGGCTCTGTAAATTTGTATTTTCAGTCTCTTTAAAAAGGGGATATTAAAGACAAAAGGGTTTTAAGCTATTTCCAATGCTGATGAAATCACTTACAATGAATGCTGCTCCTTAATGTATAAAAGTTTTAGTTTCCTGCAGAATTAGCTGGTCCCCTGAGCACTGGTCCTGACTTGGTTTTAGATTCACTCCTTTCTCAAGCAGAGTTCTATGCAGTCACCCTTGTGTGTGCTAGTAAGCTGTGTGCACATGCACGCACACACACACACACACACACACACACACACACACACACACACACACTTCCCTTCCCCCTGCTCCTCTCTTCCCCAAGCTAGTAGATAACAGTTGCTGGAGTCTGCTCTGTCCCTTGTGAGCTTGTAGTGAACAGGAAGTTCAGGGAAGCTGAGCTTTGAGATTTGGAAGCAGTGTTTGGGCAAAAATGTAAAGCAATGCTTTTGCTGGGCAATGTATGTTTGTTTGATCTGAATTCATTATTTAAAAAAAAAAAAAATGTTTGAGAGTTTAATACTACTTTAAGTTGATATACTAGATCACTATACCTCTAGACATCAAAACATGTTATTAGACTATATCAAATTTCAAACCTTAAAAAAAAGTACCAAGATGAAAAACTACAGGAGCCCAACACTCTTGCTTAACTAGACAGTACTGTAGTGTTTACCAAATGGGTTTACTATACTATAATAGACTATCAATTCTGATACTGGTACACCCCTCAATTCAACTGCACCCCAATTGCTTTATTTACTCATTACTCTCTTTAATATCTTCATTTTACTAGCATCTTATAAATGTTGCTGACACGTTGGGTGGAGCATTCCAAATTTTGAAGAGTTGGACAAATCTGAAATCCAAAAGAAATTATTCCCAATTATTCCTGAAATATAAAAAGTACTTCCTGGCATGCGAGTGTCCCAGCAGCCTCATAACAGTGTATCTTGCAGTGCGAGATCCAAGATGGTGCTGATGCTGCTTAATGCTAGTTTAGGAGATATGAAGTCAGATTTGGTGATCGCACTACTTTGCTGCTCACTGTTCTCCTCACTGGAGGCTCTGACATGAGGAAGCACACAGACACATTGCAGATCAAGGCATGGTAGATCAGGAATTGGGAAAGATCAGCTGCATGGAGACCACAGGCAATAACAGTAACTACTCCTTTACTCTCTGCCTGCTTTTGGGACGGTGGCTGTGGAAACAGTGGATTTGGTCCCTGGGGAGGATAAGGTAAGAGCAGAATTAAAGAAGCTGCTACCAACCTGCGTTACTTTTACTTTTTTCATTTTAAAGCCTCTCTCCGGGATAACATTTCCCCCACCCAACCCTATTTTGAAGTGGGACTACCCTGGCACTATAGGGATCAGATGCTCATCTATGTCTAGGGTATGTGTGAAGCAGTTTTACTTATCAGATACCCACCTCTCCTGGTGGTCAGTGCTCACCTATTTCCACTCTGGCTCACGGACAATCACTTGGGGTCAGTGACAGGTCCACGAGCCGGAGTGGAAAGACTTCAGGGCTATGGACCATGCAATAGGCATGATGACATCAGCGAATCTCAGGGAAGGAGGGGAAGGGATCAGGTTTTGGAGTCGGCGGGAGTGGGGATCAAGTGAGTATTTTACACATCTCTCCGAGACAGAAACGAGTTACGAAACCTTACAGTGCAGGGCTATCCCCAGAGTAAGGGGAGTTTTTTTGTTTGTTTCCTGGAGATGGACTTTGCGCAGCAGTGTAAGCTCATACTTTCTCCATAGTTATGTAGCTCTACAGCAATAGCCAACATCATCCAGAAGTTACTTTCTCAAAGTTGCGCTTTGCATACCCACACCATTCTACCGCATGTTAATGACCAGACCTGCTAATAGGTTACTGATATGTCAGCCTGGAGGTACTGCTGTTGTGGGATGGGTACAGAAAACAAGGACTCCAAAGGAGACACTGTAGGCACACTGGAGAGGGATAATGCTACAAATAAAGTATAGACTGACTGCTGTTAGCAAACATATGCATCTCTTAATTTACATGCCCTGAGATACCCATAGTTATCTACTGCCCCCCAAATTCTGAACTGCTTTCTAAGTTTGTCTTAGTTCAAAGATCATATATGTTTAGTGAGCACTTTGAGGTAAAAGCTGCCTCTGAAAACTCCTAGCAGCAGGAAGAAGGTACAGAGATTTTAGAAATAATCGGCAAACCATCTTGATAAACAAGAACTAAGGTAAAAGCACTCCATTTACAAACAGTTTAAACATTTGAAATTTCTCTGATTACTTCCATAATCCCCTGCACAGCAAATAGAGTGGACGGTTATGTAATCAGGTACTTCTGCCCTGGAAGCTAGATGTCTTCTGGCACCGGGAGCTTTAAGAAAGGTCCCAACCTTGTGACAGGTATATGTGAATCACAATGCCAAACAGAAAACATTTCGTATACTACAAGGCCTGGTTCCCACCTGGGCGTTTGGTAGCGCGTTCGAACGCTCTGCAAAACGCTCAAACACCGAAATCCCATTATTTCCTGTGGGTATGGTTCTCACCTGGGGGTATTACAGGCCGTATGAAAGTGCTACAAAACGCCCTAGGCCCAAAGAAGCACAGGAGCTTCTTTGGGGCGTTTTTGTTGCGCGTTTCTTTGGGATACTGCCAAGTAGCGCTCGGAAACGCGCGTTTGTTGCGTGTTTTTACCGCGAATCGCGGTAAAAACGAGCGTCACGAAACAAACGCGCGTATTCGAGACGCCTAGGTGTGAACCCAGCCTAAGGAGTTTCACTGAGAAAAAAACAATGATATGGCTGGAGTTCTGTTCTGTTTTATGTAACCTTTACAAAAAAAAAAAGGGTGCAGATTTTCTATATATTACAATAGTTACATAGTAACCTGGGCAGCACCATGCCGTAGTGTTAGCACTTCTGCCTTGCAGCAATGAGGGTTCCAAGTTCAAACCCCAGTCAGGATACCATCTGCGAGGAGTTTGCATGTTCTCCATGTGCTTTCATGCGTTTCCTCCCACACTCCAGAGACATGCTGGTAGGTTAATTGGCTCCTTTCTAAACCAGCGCAGTATGTATGCATGTGAGATGGATATCTTAGACTGTAAACTCCTCGAGGGCAGGGACTGATGTGAATGTTCAGTATGTAAAGCTCTGCAGAAATTGTCGGCACTATATAAAATACTTGTAATAAAATGAAAATATCAAAGTTATAATCACCCGATCCTCCAAGTCGGCCAGCTATAACAGTGCTACCTCCCATCTATGTCCTCCTCTGCTGCAGCGATAGATGTCCCTCAACATTACATTGTATTGAACATGATGAGTTACAGGACCTTAGACCACTGCAGTGAAGGGGGAAGGGAGGCTCCAGGCACCGGTCTGAGAGCAAGCCGACTCCGAGGATCAGGTATTATTGTTGAACCTAGACCAAAACAAGAACTTAATGTGGGTTAAGGGTTAATCATTTTCCATGGAGTTCTTCTTTAAAGAGATAAGATGGTTAGCGGAAATATGATAAAATGACTTCCTATTAAGGCATTTCAATACCACAAATGAATGTGGTTGTTCTGTATATAAGGCTTCCTTTTTCTTCAGTCTGTCATTTAGCAACAAGAATGAATACAAGGCTCTGCATCCCATTGCTAAACCTGCGTGTCAAGTTATGGAACTGACAAACAATGCAGGTTTTACTGAACTTTGCTCTTGTACACATACAGTATTTTCCAGTTCAGACAGTTGAGACATCTCAGGGTAAGATTTCTTTGCAAACTAAAAGATTCAAGTGTGTGCTACCTTCTGGCTTAAGAGACATGTGAAGCAGTACTAGTACTGCTAGTACTAGTACTAGCAGTACTTTACATAGTAAAGCAGCACTAGAGACTACCATGAGACTGAAATCTATGCAGTTACAAGAGGAGAGACAGCATCTGTGATTTATATTTAGCTTTTCTTAGCACGGAAACAGGCTGTGCCAAATCCTGCAAGCACTTCCCAGCATTCTCTGCGCCTGCCTTCATCTAGAGATCAAACAAATGAGAGTCATCATAGAACAGGCACACCAATTACACATATAGATCTCCATTTTATGGGTTGGTGGATATTTATAGCCATAAATCTAGTGTTCACGGACAGTTTGCCGTACAATGGGATCTCATTTAACAAAAAGGAAGTCCGTAGCGCTTTAGCAGGTCACTTTAAGAAAGACCAATACAGTGCGCAAGGCTCGTCTATGAGAAATGCCAGAGCAGAGCGCTCCACAAAAATAGCCGGGAATGACCTGATGCAAGAAATATGCGAATGTGACAAAGCAAAGAAATACCGCTCGCATGTCTCATATGCACTAGTCCTACAGCTTTCCTAAAACATCTGCTTATGTGCAGTCCAGTTAGAAACAGCAAAGATATGTGAATATTTGGGCCTACAAAGAATTGCATTGGCTCCTTCAGACAGTTCCTCCAGCTCCACAGGAAGTGATTCATGGACTACAAGTGCGGTGACATACTTTATAAAAGAGACAGAAGTTCCTCTGCCACTGTGGCAGATGGGACTTGTAGGTTTTTCAGTCACAGATGATCTGGGCAGAGCCCCACACAGC